TAATGTCTCTCTTAAGCATTAAACTAAGGCGAAATGCTGACATGACGCAAAAAAACCTTCTATACGATATAGAAAAGTGAATAGAAATAAAACAGTACATCTAGAATGTTAACAAAGAAAGTTGTTAGGTCTGGAGCGGTGTATGTATGTATATAGACAAATTATGGGTTGTCCGTTCATCAGTAACCGCGACTGCGGCTTCCGCATTGCAGACGCCGCACGCACAAAAACATGCTCAATTTATATACAAATATAAAAGGAAGATCCACCACCACGTCTTATATTGAAAATCTAATGTATATTCAGTTTTTTTGCTCTCATTGTATCTGTGACTTAGTCGATTTGTGTTCAGGATGAACATTGAAGGAACTAAATTATATATAATATCGATTATTTTGGTGGACTATAGAAAGGTTAAAACTGTTTCACTATACAGAAAAATATTGTGAAGAGAAACGAGATATCAGCTTCTATTAATATGCACATATTATTTGTAAACAGGGGAAAGTTGCAGGTGTAGGACCCCGAGGTCCGAGCTGCCACTGGTAACACGTCCCTTTAACAATAATAGTAGCACTTTGAAGATACTCTCTTAATATGTATATTGAGAATAATATACGCGTTTTTCAGTAACTATACAACTGACTAATAAAGTGACGTATCCCAGCGTATCATGATATATTTTCTTTCGTATTTAGTTGGGAACGTAAAGAATAGTTTTATCACCAATCATAATATCAAAGTGAAATGCCCAGTTGCGATGTAAAACATAACATAGTTGCTGTATCCGACCGTGACGCGTCATCGGACTGTGAAAGACTTGAATTTCACTGTTGCTACAAATTAAATGTGACCCACTTTCTATAGTGGATTTATTTATATTAAACCAATATATTGTTTATTGACTGATAGCGATAACACGGGCATGTGTGCTATGGTCTTGTACGACAATATACACACTCATTATTATTCTATCAGTTGTAAAAAGATATTATCTGACTTCTAAAACTTTTGAAAGAAAGTATTATAACAAAATTTCTAGGTAGTAATTATTGTAGAATTAAAATTCACCTTATTACAATTCATGTACTGTCAACATTTTTGATGTGCGAATTTCAATAGTTTTGTGTTAAATATTACTATCAGTTAAATATTATAGGATAAGAAAATCCGAAGTTATATCTACAACAAAAAAATCTGTTTGCATCTACAAGTCGACGTTTGACAACATCATATACCCTTACTAACAAAGATACTCAGAGTTTCCTTGATTTTGTACATTTAATATCTAAAACAATTTTCTCTGAAGCACTTGTTCGTGTTTATACGTTCTATCAAGTATGCTTAATAGATTTTTTAATTTGCATGACCATAATAATGTTTACGACCTCCTTCCGCCCTCAACCACATTAGGTATTAAATTTCTATCAGGGAAAGCTGGTGCTATCGAAGCAATCACAATAATTTAGGTCTTAAAGCGGGGTACTAGACCGCAATCGCTGGAAATTGTATCAGTTATCGATTTCTATATTACTAGCTTGTGTCTTATTTAAAATATTAAGACTCGTAAATTATTTTCAAAAAAAATCATGACATTTTTTATATTCTTAAAAAAATCCTTGTAAAATTATGGCACTTGATATTGTTTAAGATTCCAGAGTCGTTCAAAATAATATAGTTATAGAACAAGTAACGACTCGATAACATTCCAGCCATTTCGGTGAACTAGCTGTTATTAGTTATTTGTAAATAAATACCAACGCCATAAAAGTTTCCCAACCGCAGTTGCTTCACGTCAAGCAACCTGCCTTAGGGCTGACGTCCAACTATTCTACTTCGACGAAATACCCTTAACATGTAAATATTTTTGAAAATTATGTAAAACGATATTATTAATATATTTCAAATTATCTCTGAATCCTCAGCAATATGAGTTTTCTTTCAATACTTTGAAAAAATATACTGATTTTTAAAGTGTATTTCCAAATAATGAATCTTATATAGCGAAAAGTAATTTAGTTATAATTTTATTTGCTAAATTATTACATAAATATATAATTCTTCATGAAACAAATTTTATATACAGAAAATTATATAAAGCTAGAGTTAAAACAACCTAGGGTTGGCTAATTCTCGGAAATGAGCAAAATTTTAATATCGTAACAGCATGACCCGCCCTACATCTCATTCTGTACATTTGTATGGGAAACAGATCGTATCTAGACCGTAATTATTGGTACTTGAAGTACAAGTATATAATGTTGTGGTTGAGCAACGGATAGTTAAGATTAACGCAAAAAGTATGTCTGTAACATCATAACTCTGAAACTTAGAATATGCTAAATGCTAGCATTGGTGCTAGCGTTAGGATCTTCCTTTGAAAATAAAAACATCTTTAAAATTCGTATTAAAAGAATATAGACCCTTTACTGTATAGTATGTTGTCACAAGAATAACTATAAATACATCAATAATAAATGTCAATTATAGATAATAATGAGAAAGAGACTTAAAAACGGAACCTTGGCTAAGCATAATTTGATTCGGTTACATCAAACTTATGAAATTCCCACAAAAAAAAAATGTTATGCAGTCATAAACACGGCGAATTACTCACGGACATTTAAAATTTAAACAGTTACACAATAACATAAACTAGATACGCCTTTTGCGTGATAAATAATTTCGCAAACAGTTGAAATTTATTACATTATATGTCAAAAATACGCTGTCATAAAAAGTGGGCTAAAATTAATATAAGCTTATGATGAAAATACTGCCACTTGACAAAATACAATATTGATTTGGATAGGTACTATATATATGTAAATCTGATAGAAGAGCAGGAAACACGGAGTATAATATTATGGATCTTATAACAATTACGATTAAAAAGTAATGATGTTAATGATATGATTTCATTCTTCATGTTTTATCACGTCTTAAAAGAAGAATCGGATCAAGATTTTATTTACCATAAAACGGCATTGAAGTTATTAAAAATAAAATTACTTTATGTGGTAACGAAAACCTAATCAACACATTGGGCATTAAAAATCACATTTTATCTCCTTAAATATCTCTCTCCCAGACCTGATAAATCATGACATATGTATAAATGCGTCTCTCATCCGACGCCGGCGCCTAATTTTGTTTTATGATCACCATCGTGTCCAATATTCGGTTATCGGTTTTACAATTCAATGGTTTATTGCATATGAAGATTGAATTATTCTGGAGTTAACTTCGATCGTAACTGAATTAGAATTTTTAATAAGAAATCCCAATAAAGGAAATTATATGACTGATTATCTCTGTAAATAAACAGTGAAAAGGAGATGGAATGAAAAAAATAAAAGTTAGTAGACACATGAGTTTAGCTGTAAATAAATAAGAATCGACAATAAATGTCACAGGGTAATGAAATTTAAAATATAAATACATTAAACTTACTAAAAGCTTAAAGTAAAGAAAAAAGACAAAAGTAGCTAATTAATGCTCCACCGCCACTGGTTTTATGTAAAAAATTATAAAAGAAAGGTATCGTTCAGAGTATTAGACTAGTGGGGATTGTCACATAAACACGAGTATCAGGGCTGTAAACACTCGTATCTTATAGTTAATTAATAAACCCCGGACGATTAAAAAGCTACCCGACATCGAAACTATCATAAATTGTACTGATAATGCTCATTTGAGATACTTTGTAATTGCTTAATAAAGTTTAAAGGACCATTGCGGGAGCGCGTTTGAAGGACGCATTCATCAAGATAATACGAGCCTCGGTGTAAGGATTGAGGGAATTAATGAGAGTTAACACAAGATTGTACCGGCGAGGGCTATATTTACAGAATATAGAAATATTTATACACTCAAAGTTCAGATTCCCTCACTCATGTTCTGTAGGAACGAAAGTCATCAAGAGAACATGTACGTAGCTGCCGTAACTCGTCCGTCCGGTGCGAATGTACTCAGCTTGTATGAAATTGATTTAAGGAACGAGAAAGAACTAGCGATAATATAATACATGGAGCCTGAGGTTTTGTAATAGAAGAATCTCTGCGTCTTATATAAATATACCACTTATATGTATGTAATGACAGTATACTTTCTATTTAAAGTGAAATTCGGGTGTTATTATAGTATTTCCATTTAATAATGTACAAACTAAATATCAAAACCCTTTCGTCTGTTAAGAGACGTAACCAGTCGTGCGTACGATCCGCACTACTTGACAACCGACTTGTGATAGAACGAGTAGAAAGTTGTGGAAATTAAAGTTTTTAATGTTATAGTTATTATGATCGTCAACCATCGTATTTATATTAAACGACCTGAGTTTAGAAACCAAAACAGAAAGAAGGAATCAATAAGATGATTACAGTTCCTGTAATAGTACAGTACAGTCAGCGTTAGAAGATTATCTAGTTTTACTTGGAGTTGTAAAAACGATATGTTTGTTTGCGCAATCAACAATAGTTAGCGGCTCACGAGCGGGGTCGCTCTGATAAATTGACGTTCGAACTTAGCCCCAATGCTTAACATTTAAACAGATACTATCGCACCTAGCTCGTTCAACAATTCAAAACAAATAACTGATCATGACTCAATACTGTGATTAATTTTTACTGTGATGAAGACAAAATATGTATTAGTGACACAGAATTTATATCAAGACCTCTTGACCTACCGAATAATCTTTGGCATTTACAGGTACGACCGCGACTGCTTAAATTTAATCAACGGAAACCAACCATTTCTTCTCCTCATTAAAAAATTAATTACGTTCCCTTTTATATTTATATGAACTATGGAATAAAATCTATAAAACTTGTGCATTACGATGCAAAAAATAAAGTTTCTTTTAAATCAATTGATCAAAATATATTTCTTGATATCATTACAGTCTTTAAAAATTAATAGTTATACCTCTTTTTTACACTATCTCTGTTATTACCATAAAACTCGTAATATAATCGGGACAAGTGGATCGGTAAGGTTTATCTGGCACCTTGATTAATATTGCCAAAATTCATTCGGACTTTAAACGAATCTTTTTCGACACTCCTCGGCGCCGGAGCTCGGCCCCCCGCTGAACAACGACACGAGAAAAAAAACATTCCCATTCGTGCATTTTTGGTTTCTTTGCATAATAACAATACATTATATATAAAATACAATATGTTATAAAGCTGCATTGGTTGATGCGTATATTATTTGGATATTTTTATTAAATCGGTTAGATTTAATTCGTTACTATAATACAGTGGTCGTAACTTATCTTTTAATCATTTGTTTTCAAATTTTATTATTTGGTTATTATCGAATTCTACTATAATTTGAACAAACAATAACTGTACTGTAATCAATCAAACGAGGAAAATAATCGATTTCACTTACAGAAATATAATGATTTCAGTCGACGAAATTTATAATTCAAGTTATACGACAATTAACCTCATTCAGCATGTTATATTTCTTACATAATTACACACGGTACGCCACCCCAATTACTCGTCCGTGATAATTTTTCATAACGGCCGACGTCATATGAATTAAATTAATTATTCCGATGACGTATTACATGTCAAAATTGATATTCTATCGAAAATAATCATGATCACAAAATCAAAGTTATCAACCTTACGTATACGTAATAAAAGCCAATATCAAACGTCGATGTAAAGATAAATGATGGACTTTATTGATTGCGGGCATTATCCTGGATTAAAATGAAACGTACTGTAAAAATAATTACAGTACGTTCCATTACAAGCTGTAAAATTATATATGAGATTTATATATACATGTGTTAAGTCGAACCGAATAATTATATCATAAAGCAGCTCGCGATACAAACACACAATGTTAACATCCATCATACAAGTTAATTCATGTCATTGTTGTTTATAGTGAACATTCCCAATGTGTTCGGGCTCGGTAATAAATACTTGATTTAAGTTATACCCGGTATTACGACCAGTCGAATCGAGGGACCCCGATTAAATTTTAAGATCATTTCAAGTTCAGGCTTAATATGTTAGAGGATTTTGAGTTTTGGTTTTACTTCAAGCGGAGCGTTAAAATTGAGATGATTATATGAAAAAAGGAAATTTCACTTTTAACTTCTGTTAATCCTACGGTTTTACATAGATTTTTGAAGGTGTAAAATGTATGAAATCGTAATCAAAGTCACTTTAAATTTGGAGATTCGTACGAACAAAAAAAATCAGGTGGCGGAAAATATAAAGTGACAATAATAATAATATATGTTCTATAAAAATTTGCAAATTTTAAAACCCTCTTTGATATTTTTATATTAATCTTAGTAACTAAACACAGCCACAATTCCTATAATTCGGATTTGTTCCTTTCAAATTTTAACTTATGATTTATAAAAAAAACATAACTAAAAAACAGGAAATCCACAATCCATACATCAGATTCGAAGAATAGGTTTTTTGTTTTGATGCCCAAGTCGTTCCATACATTTTGTGTCCATAATGCATTGTGTGGGTTTTGGCAATGATAAATCAGTTATCAGACTGTTTGTGTATTATTATTTTTTTTGGACATCATTCACAGATAATAATGACTGATAAAGTATTATTTTTTTTTTATTTCACATGTAATGAATCATGATGTCCTTGTAGCAATGACTTAGAGCTCGCTAGTTTTTTGGACGGTACGCTTTAAATAATTTTGTTGTTATTTACCTTTGTTCTGTAGAGCGGATTGGAGAAGTCCCAGCCCGGTGCGACGAACAGATATCCGCATCTTGATATCTTCCTGCTGGCCTGTGAACAAGAAGTAACATTACTCTATAAATATCACTCGTAATTTTTAAACGTACTTTTATATCCAAACTCTTCGAAACTGTACATTGTATTATATACTGACATCAAAGTATTCAAAAACCTGCATACTCGTATATCAAACCACATGAGTGTGCACTTTAATCTATGACTCAAATACAGACTGTTTACATGTAATTGGAAAAATACTAGGACTACTGGCGATATTACACCACAATACATGTATACAATTAGTGTACTGTTTCATAAGTTTGAACGGATTTAGTTTTTGTATTTAAATGTCGCTCTATTTATAATACGTTTAATGACTACATAAATCCCTAAAAAAAATATATTTCACATAGTTATGACCACGATTGATTTTTAGTATCATGAAATGTTGCATAAATTGATTTTAAAACGGCAAAATTATAATAGCTATACATTATTATACCTCTTTTGTATTTTTTTGGCACCAATTTATGTTGATACCACGCCAAATGTGTAAAACAATCGTAAATATTATTCGCAAACTTTTTGTTCACACTCAAGATTGAAATTCTGTTAAATATGCAGAGGTCTTTTGTAACTCTTTTTTGCGAGTCGAATGCGATAGAGGTCGAAGGTTTATGTCTTGGAGATAAAAACCTCATGTAAATGCGATTGGCCATAGGAAGTGTATTTTAACATCACATATGCTGATGTCAGAGTTCATTGACCCGTTACGCAAGCACAGTAAACGTTACCTCATATTTGATTAGCAGTTGAGGAATTATGTCGAGTGCCATTCTAAGGTAGCGTTAAGTACCCCAAAGTACCAGAAAGCCCTTGAAATACTAGAAAAAAATCCCAAGTGACTTGAGAATTTCCACATAAGTTGAGTCGGTTTTAGAATTTGAAACATGTATAAAATTTAGGAAAAAAAAAAAACACAAACAAAGGATGGACAAACAAAGCAATCATTAAAGTATATTTGACCAAAACGATATAAACTGAGCAATACGAGTTTGCAAATAAAAGTAACCAAGTCTTATGAATAATGAACTTGACCGATCTTTTTTGTGACTCCGAGGCCGATGACACCACCGTGTGTCATCAGATAATGTGAATTTAAGCGGGGACGGACGGTGGCCGGTGGCCGGTCGCTGGTCGGTGGTCAATTCGTTACCGTTGCGACTTGCGGGTTAATGGTAGCCACACTGTGCTGGTAGATAGTGATCTGAATATATTAACAGAAGTCAACGAGGGGAACACTTCATGATATGCTAATATCACGTCGAATTGCGTCCGCATTCATTGGGATATATCGACCTCTGCTATACTTGTTGTTATAATCGAACAATCTATGAGCCGTGGACAATAGTCGAGTAGCTTCCCTTACAGTATGTATGTCAGGGTCCCAGAACCGGTAAAGGTGGTACCGTTACTCCATTACAGTGACAATACGAACACTGTGCGTATCGAACGGATCGCGGGCGGCGCGTGCGGCTACGTGCCAACGAATCCTCCACTTGAAGAGTTAAGAGCTTATTTAATCGATTAAGATTACATCTGGTGTTAAGTCCTTAAAGTCGTATTAAAGTCCGTATTTTTTCCTTAGAGGTTATTTGAATGATATTTTTTTATTATAATTATCAGTTCTTCTTTCTACGCTTGAAATAAATGCTTTTTCAATATATTAATTTTGATGAGTAATATTTTGTCAATATAAAAATATTAATACACTCTGATACACGCTAAGCGATTCAGATATATTTAAATTACGGATAATAATTCGGTCAGAGGTTAGAATACATTACAGAAAGTACATTGTCGTTGAATAATATATTCAAGAAGTTAGTTGTGATTGTAGATTTCAAGGTGAAATATAAAGCTATGTTAAAATTTCCAAGGCTGCGTGTGTTATTAATCAAACCTAAAGCTTATAAGATTGACATCGTCTGAATATAAATAAAGATGCATGAAAAGGTCCTAAAATAGACTTTATTTGCAATAAAATCTATCTGTTGTCCTAAACGAGAACCGAAACGAAAGATTTACGAGCGACATCTCGCTTCATGGAACACAAAATAACATAGTTGCTAAACCAACCTGTGCAAAATGTTATTTATTCTCTACAATAATAGGAAATATAAAATCAACGGATATGCATAATTTAAAATAATAATATAATTATATGATATTTCCATACAAATTGTTCCTGCAGGTGTTATTATAGAGATCACTAATTAAAACGCCTCGCCTGATGACATGATGTATTATGTTTTAACAATATAATTCCTTATTTGTATCATTCGATCCTATTTTAATAGTATACAAATTTGCCAGACATCGATTTTATTTTTCGATTGTGATTTTTATATGTATGTATTATAAAGAATATTTTGAATAAAATTCCGTTGAACAAGGTGTGCGTCGTCCGACATGACGTTAGAATGCAATCGCGATGAACGAATAAGTCTATCGATATGGATATCGATTTTGCGAAAGGCTGCATCGATTGAACCGAGGTCGTGGGAACTGGGCAACTTGCACTTTCGTCGTGTATATCTTAGCGAGATTTATTGTACGCTCGTGAACGAGTGAAAACAGCAGCGTCGTTACAGCTCGGAATGTACATTGTTGATAATTAATACTTTCCTGCTATTATGAAACTAGCTGATGTATGGGGTTACGTTTATTGCAGTTTTATATATAGGATTGTGGGAACCGACTTGCACTTTCGTTGTTAGCGATGCGCGATTAAGGCGCCGGCTGGTCTGGACGAGGCTAGAATTAACAAGTCGTCTTCTCTGCATGGAGAGAAGATTTGTGAAAGTACAGTTAGATGCTTTAACCAAGAACGCTGTATGTGTTCTCTTTATTTGTCATGTGACAGTTTTAATAGCGAGGCTTTTATCAATCACACCAATAAAGGCAGACTCATAAAAGGAATTAATGTTATTTCTACGGGATTTACTTTTTTTTATGTACTTCGTTCGTTACGCAATGTCCATTTCCTTGATTTTACATTTTTTATATAGTCTTATATAAAAATATTGCATATTTACTATCCGACTAGGTTTAAAAGCATCTAAATAATACCAAATGAGCCTGAGTATCATTACTATTGGTACTAGATTGTAACAGTGATATAATCATTAATCGTTTTGAGCAATAAATAATTGCAGGCAATTAAGACTAATAATGCACGAACAGACTTCAATGATACCAAGTAATCAATAACGTTAAAGTAAAAGAAGTTCTCAAGAAGTGAAACGCGGCGCCGATAAAAACAATAATGAATTCAAAGCAAATACAAAAGATAATTGGAATAATAGAAAAATCAACAAAGATACAGCTTTCACGAAGCCAGTAATGAACGACAATCAAATAACCAAACGAAGGTCTGCGAAAAAAATTATACGGTATGGACTGAATCACTTTCGATTAATTAACTGGGGTTAGTCCGTGGTAATATGTACCGACGTGTTGATTATGAAACACACATGTCGACCAATGAAAGTGTCTGAAACACGATGCTCATTGCGGACCCACTTTTTAATTTTATACGTCCAAATTATGAAACTAGTTTGGTATCGAAGAAATTTCGTAGGAGAGTACAGCCGACGAGGGGCGGCGGGAGGTCGTCACGGGCTCGTCACGGCATCGCTACCGGCACAATTATCGAATCTGGACCACTCTCACTGAATCAAAAAGAACACCGCGACCTAAAGAAAGCGACGTCAGGTGCGCTCCCATTTCACTTTCCAATGACCATCCGCGGGTTAACAAATTTGAACTCAAGCTCCCAGTTTTCAGAGACACTTTTCATTTGGTTTCAGAATGTGAATCATCGCTGTTAATTATCTAGATTCAGCACGTAAACCCTGAGGTAACTAATTGGAGGCATAGGGTCGAATGTAATCGTAATGTGTTGGAATCACTGATGTTTTGAGACCTAACTTATTTTACAATGAACAAGATACCATTGCCTACCAGTCTGCTTAGATGATCGCAAAGAGACATTTTGTTTTATTAAATCACAATCATAAATACTTTAATAATTTGTATTCGAATATTTTTATCTTTATTTTTCGTCGATGCATGTATGTATTGTAAAATATTTGAGAATACTTGATCATACTAAACAATGAGATACGCATTAAAATATATATGTATAGTTTTGTTGATATAGAGATATTTTTTAAATTAAAAATAACACACTATAAACTCTTACTTTCATTAAAAAAAAACGTGGTTTTACTTATATATTCCTAAGTAACCATTTAACAAATTAAAAGTACAGTTAACATATATAAACAATAATATTTAAGTATAACTTTCTCAGTTCACAAACGTTAGCTGGGCATTAGCATAGATACTTCATTGACACGAAATATTAATTTCATGTTATCTGAATCTCATCTATCAGATCAAGAGCGACCATTGTGGTGCGCGGGCGCAGCTAATGACAGACCATTTAGTACATGCCTAATATCGAACGAATTGAGATGTAACAACTCTATTTTGACAGCTAATATATATATTTTTTTTTTGGTCCGAATCCAGGCCAACGGCAGTTATTATTGAGAATAATTGTTCGAGCTTCAATAAATGATAACTGTTTGTTAACAATTCGAACTATTTCATTTGAATGGTGTGTAACTGTAAATTGTTGCTCGACAGTACAATCTATCGGATACTTTATGAGATATTACTTCCTCGATAGTTTTATTGACGATTTGTTAATATGAACTAATAGTTATTCGATTAATTCAAATCACCTCGCACCGATCGAGGCCTAGGACGTATTAAAGGTCTTTGACGAAATACCAACGATTCATAGCGAGCGAGTCACATAGCGAAAATTATTAAGTGATATTTAATACAAGTTACAAATACTTTAAGATATTTATAATATGTTTCATATACTCTTTAAAGATTTCATTTAAATCATGATTTAATATTACTTTTTTTAAGTTACACTTTATAATTATTTACATGATTATTTTCAATTTTTT